CTAAATTTACCTCACCGTTCGCTTTCTTGTCTGGACAGACTTAAGTCTGCTGCTGTACTGCGCTCTGCACAGTGATATGGATATGAAAAGCAAAATAGTTGCAGTCACTTGTTTAGCTTTCCTTTCCAGCATGGAAAAACACTATTCCTGCATCTTCTCCGTGAACCTTTATGATCCAGACTGTGGCCTGCTGATATTCCATGTCTCCTAATTTGGTGCTGGCTGGAAAAATGATGCTTGCAATGTGGTTTGCATTGACACTGCACTACTGTAGAGACTGGGAAGTAAGAAAAAAATCAGTTTGCTTTAACTTGGAACTAAAAATCTATGTCCTATTTAAATACATATTAAGTTATTACAACAATAAAGTGCCATGTAATTAGTGTGATTTTTAAATTATACCTTTCCCATGGTATAAGTTGAACAAGCTAATCACTCTGTTACTCACTTTAAACCTAAATCCCTCTGTTTTACCTGGCTTCATTGTGAAAGCGCAGCAATCACACAAACCATCCTAAGCATTCTGGTCTTGAGCTGTAAACAGACAGCTGAGGCTAATTTCTCAACTGTGGGAAAGACAAAAAAGGAGGATAAAGATGAAAGTAATTAAAAGACAGCAAGTGACATCAGTCTCTGTCTGCATGACTAAAACCCAAAGCCATCTGTTCTCTCTTCTTGTTCTTAAGAGAGGTGCCCTGCTTAATTTTTAGATTTTAAGTTCTTCCAGAAGACACCGAAAAGATGGCAGCCATCTGTCAGCTTGCACTTTTCCTAACAGCGGCCTTTATGCTTTAGGAACTAACAAACGCAGATGGGTAGTCCTGGAAACAATTTTCATTTGCAAGAAGTGTTAGTTTTTAGAAGACATTGGAGATGCCTTGAACTTCCTCTTCCCCCTCCATACACATCCTATGTTGGGCTTGGGAGAAATCCAAAGGATCGCAGAGAAATAAATACACAGCCCGCTGGCCGGCATTTTAGACAGTATAAAATTTAGGACTGAAAAAAAATTCGGACTGAAAAAGCCACACTTGCCTAGACAGGCAAGAGACTGTTGGCCAAGGGCTGTACATCTTGATAGAATCAAACCTTTTATCTAAATAACACGTTCTTATATCCTGTGGTTGCAAAAACAACCTTCCAAGTATGAGCCGAGCGCACCCAGCGCTTTGAAGTCTGCAGGAAAACGCTCCAGTGCCGTGTGGGAAGGGGGGAGATAACCGGGATGAGGAGTGGGGTGTCAGGGATGAGAACCTTTTCCTCCCTCCAGCTCTGCGCAGCAGGGCCCTGCGCTCCGGCACTCGCAGGCTATTTCTGGCAGCAAGGGAGGTCGGTCTCCCTGAAGGATACCAGGAGCCAAGAGCCCACGCAGCTCCCTGTTGGCACGGCGCTCACAAACGTGTCTTGCCGAGGGGAGGAAGAAAAGCATTTGGTGTGAAGATTTGTTAGAAGACTTGGCACGAGCTTGGGAGCAGGAATTGTGTCAGGAACCAGATCAACTTCTCCCGCACTTATGAAAAAAAAAAAAA